TGAGCTTCCTCCCCAGCCCTTCCCCCCAGCCCGGCCCGCGCTTCTTCCGACACGTTCGCCCTCGGGAATGTGCAACATGTAAGAATTCTGCTGCCAAACTCTCCCCCGACAGCTCCCGGAGCGGTTATTTTGCTTCAACTACCCCAGACTAACACGGCTACATTTCTATCTGATTAAGGACTGATACCTCCAGCCTGGTGTCAGAACTCACCAGCAATAATACACCAAACATCCCTTCATTTGCACTGAAAGGGGCAGGAACAGATCAATGTGTATCTTAGCCAACACCAGTGGAGGAAGAAACTAGCATCAACCTTCCTTTACAGACACTCTGTTCCGAAAATACTTTTAATGGAAAACTTTTCCATTAAAAGCATTTCCGGAAAATCATGCCAGTCTAGACGTAGCCCTAAATGTCTTTTGAAAGCCCAGTAAGCAGTGGAACTGTTGGTAATTCTCCTAGACCAGTGGTCACCAACCAGTAGATTGGAATTTACTGGTAGATCTTGGAGCCTCTGACAGGTGATCCTGACTGGTTTGGCCAGGAAGCTATCAAGCGCTGGCACTTCAGTTGCCCCTCCTACCACGCTGCTCCTGCCCTCTGTCTTGGAGCTGCTTCCCCTGGGAGCTTCCTGCTTGTGCAGTTGTGGGAGGGAGGGGGGGGGCACAGATATCAGGGTGTCCCTCCTCCCCCCACTTCTGTACCCCTACACAGGGAGAAGAGGATAGAGGGAACTTGGCAATGCAATTCTTTGTCACTCTCACACAGTGTGTCTGTCATTCTCACACACACTGTCCTCCACTCTCATCTCCCAACCCAACACATACGTGGGTTGTTGTTGCTACTTGTTTTACTGCTTTCAAAGTGGGGTATTTTGGGGTTTTGACTGGTCTGTGCATTTCATAATTTTCATTTCTCTCTTATGCTTAAATTTAATTCTTTGAGTAGTGAGTTCTAACATGCCTAACCTGTCGTGGCTGGAGTCATTATCCCCATGGTAATTACTGCTCCTGGAAGTGGCTGGCATGACTCTGCAGCCCTCGAGAGAGGCACAGCAGAGGGTCTCCACATGTCGTTCTTGCCTGCAGACACCGCTCCTGCAGCTCCCATTGATCAGTAACAAGGAACCGTGGTCAGTAGAAGCTGTAGACTCAATGCCCTATAGATCAGGGGCAGCACATGGCGCCATGGAGCCATTGCTATACATGCCAGCTGCTTTCAAGAGAGGTGCAGGGCCAGGGCAGGAGTCAGCCCCACAGCTGGCCAGGGATGGAGCAGCAGAGCCAGAGCAGCCCCGCTCCCGCCCCCACCCTGCCCCGCTCCCCAAAGCAGCTGGCATGTACAGCAGTGACGCCCCATGCGGCCCCTCCTCTACGAGCACCCCCCTGCCGCCTCCAC